ACCAGCCAAAACGGCTCCAGGTGTTTTAATTGTCACGAGCATAGCTCACTATGATGTTGATGTCCAGTACATCAAGGGGAAAGAGAACCACTTGCGCAGATCGCTAATCGGTCCTTCTGAAGTCCATCATGACGGCCAGCGAAGACATCGAGCTGGTAAATGCAGTTAGTCATTCTGTCTCTGCCAGAAGAAGACATTCTCAAGATGCAGAAAGCACACGTGTGAGGGATGAGGGCTTAAAGCATTGAAAAGTACTATCATGACTGGATGGCCGAGTGTAAGGCACAGCTGTCACCACACGTAATACATATTTCAACCTGAGAGATGAGCTCACTGTAGTTGATGGCTTAATTTTCAGAGGAGAGCAACTTGTGTTCCAAGGCTATGAGAAGAGATGTCAAGACTGATCTCCATATAGGCCATAGTGGAGTGGAAGCGACTCTCAAGACGAGCACGGGAATATGTCTATCTGCGCGCAGATGGCCAAGAAATACACTGAATGGATTCAGACATGCGCAACATGCTGGAGTACTCAAATGCCCAACCTCAACTGCCTCTGATGTCACATGAGGTACCCAACCGCCTGGGAGAAGATCGGAGTTGATCTTATGTTTTTGGAGGGTGAAGAGTACTTAGTGACAGTTTGCTATAGATCTAACTTCTGGGAAGTTGATCGATTGTATAAGTCGACTGCGAAGAGTGTGATCAACAAGCTGACCAACCATTTCGCTAGGTATGGAATCCCGGATGAGATGGTAAGCCGATAATGGACTCCGTTCTCGTCAGCGGAGTTTGCAAGCTTCATAAAGAGGTTGAATATTAAACACCAAACCATCTGCCCTATAACAGCAAAGCGAATGGCATGTTGAGTCGGCAGTCAAATCAGCGAAGAAAGTCATGAAGAATGTCGGAGGTCTGGTGAAGATCTGCTTCTCGCGTTGCTGAATTTGAGGAACACTCCTACGCAAGGGGTCGACTCCAGCCCTTCACAGAGATTCCTCGGAAGGCGTACTAAACAAGAGTCCCAACTACGCCTCACTTCTGAAGCCGAGGAGTCACGAGACTAAGCACGAGATGCAACAACTCGAGCTTAACAAGAAGCGTCAGGCCAAATACTTCGATAGGCATGCGAGGGAGCTGCCTGAACTTGTTCAAGGCGACGTTGTCAGGATGAAGCCGTTTCGACCAGGAGAGGATCGTTGGAAAAAAGGAAGGGTACTTCGTCGTTTGGATGAGAGGTCCTTTGAAGTGGATGTTGATGGCGCGGTGTACAGACGCAATAGAGAACATCTAAGAGCAAGTAAAGAATCTCCTGACTCAGAGAGATCTCCAGTTGGCCCCAGACCTGAGGGAAGCAACCCGACTACGGACGCTCAAGGTACACTCCCACCGGCAGACAAGCCGGTTGGAGACACCACTTCACATAATACTATTGATGATTATCACCAACAAGGTCAAGACTGTGTCCATGAAGATGTAGGGGATAAACCACCTGATATGTCGAACTCATTGAGACGTTCAGGAAGACACCGACATCTCCCAGACAAGATGAAAGATTTTGTTATGTATTAACAAAATAAGAAATGCGACACAGATACGTTACATGAAAAGGGGAAGTTTTTCATATTTGCTTTGCGGATGTTTTTTGGTTAAAAAGTAAAGGATTAAGGATTACCGATTGGAATATTTGTCGGTTGTAGAGATAGCTACAGAACTAGGATTCCATGATTTGAAAGACGGATAGTCTGATATTGTTTTTGACATATATGTGTATTTGTGTTTAAGGAAGCACATTTTGTTTTTGTGAGGTGTGCAATCTTAGATTTGCATGGTTGTTGAGTTATTTTACATAGGCTATGCAATGATGAGTTGTTTTGAGTAGTTTAAACTCATGTGAGGCTTCTCTTACCGACTGGTAGTTTTGTGAATGTGGTATTGCACATAGATATGTATTGTGATGTGAAACAAAGTAATGTTCATCAACGTTGTAGACCAAGCTGGAGCGAAATCATTCTTATTTCTTAGTTTTGTTTTATAGGCCCATTTGATTGATGATTGCACATTTTAGGTCCAGAATAGTCACTCATATCTTGATTGGCCATATTGTGTATGATTTGCCAATATGTGTTTTCATATTACACAGTATTAGGCTATTTTAGTCTTTTCGGTCAGTTTACCAAAAGCACCATCTCTCATGTTTTAAAAAGGAGAGGATGTGACAATACTGTGTTCATGTTAATACCAACATCTCAATGTTGTAATGTTTGTAACGACAGATGGCGCCAGGGTGGCCAGTGTCACGAAAACCGGTAGCATGGCTGATCGTAACAGCAGTTGCCAATAAAGCAGTTCCATTCAACAATGGCTTTCTCTCTTGATTACTCACACAACGCATATTGAAACAAACACATGTTGTTATAAACAAACACCTGACACGCCAACGCCACCTGGTGTGAACTATAGGAGGCTTACCGTATATAAGGCACTGCCATGTGGCAGAAGGCCTCTTCTTACCTCGTGCGTGCTTAGACCTGTATCCCACCAGGTGCTCGATAATAAAGCATGGTGTTCTAACATAACTCTAAATACAGTACGTGTATAAGTATTGTAACATGGTGTCAGAAGTGGGATGTGTGTGTGCCTCAAGAATAGCTGAAAGGAATTCTGTGTTAGTGCTACTCTGATTCAACAAGCTACAGCAAGGCAAACATGGAACAGCTCAAGCCTCTGGGACCACTACACTTTGATGCTAGAAATTTGGCTCAAGCTTGGAGGAAGTGGTGGGAGGAGTCTGAACTGTACATGGAGCTGGCATTAGAAGGGAAGGATGAAAAGGTAAAGAAAAAAATGTTCTTGTACCTAATTGGAGAGAGAGGAAGGGAGATATACCCGACTCTGCTCATCCCAGTAGCAGAAGAGTTGCGCACTGTACAGCACATGCACGACGCAGTTGCAAAGTACTGCATCCCCACGTCGAACGAGACAGTGGAGAGATACCGGTTCTTTACGAGGAATCAGGACCAAACGGAGAGCATTGAGGAATATTCAACGGCTTTAAGAGTGCTGGCGAATACATGCAATTTTGGAGTGTTGGAAGACTCACTCTTAACACGTTGAACGCTGCATGTTTAACAATGCACCTACCGCCCTGTGCTGAGATTTTCGCGTTTTCCCCGCTTAGTCACTGATTACACAAAATGTTTTTGGCAGGTTTAACTAGCTATAAAATTATTTATAATTAGTGGCTAGTATAATATAGATATAAACTTACTCTCAGACATCAAAACAACACCCGTAATTAATCACCCGTGTTCAACCCAGCAAACACGGAACATTCTCGTAACATTCGCTGGAGGTTCTAGTTTGGTTACATTAGCCAAAAATATTCTAAGAACATTCCCATATCGTTATGCATTCATTGGTTTTACTTGGTGAGAGAGTTATGTTCTTGGAATGTTTCTCGTAACATTCGCTGGAGGTTCTAGTGTGGTTACATTAGCCAAAAATATTTTAAGAACATTCCCATATCGTTATGCATTCATTGGTTTTACTTGGTGAGAGAGTTATGTTCTTGAAATGTTCGGAAAACGTTAACCGTCTTCGGATGGGTTCGAAACTCCTAATTGCCGTTTTTGTGATGTTGCAAACTATAGCACAGGTATCAAATGTATTTTTGTTCGCAGTGGCTACGGGGACGGTAGCCGTATCTTAATGTCTCGAGGTACGGGTACGGTAGTCCATTTGCGCATACATCACTTTCCCACAAAATAATGTCGTTCACTAGCTATTAATTAATCTCCAGCCTAATTAATTAATTAATTAGCTAGCCTACACTAGTTGTTTGTGATTGATTGTCAGTTCAGAAACAGTTCAGAAACAGTTCAGTTCAGTTTGTTATTGAAAGCCAAAGGTTATAAATCATAGATTAATTTATCTGTTTTTAGACGCTATATATACGACTCGAGTCGCTTTATAGTTAGTGTTAAGGTTAGGGATAGGTATAGTTATACTGTTTGTACTTGTCTGTGTGTGTGTGTTTGTGTGGGAGGGACTGCCGTACTCAAGACGTTAAGATATGTCTGCAGCGCATACATAGTGTTGCTGGAGTTAATGTCATTTTCGGAGGTTGATCAATGTTATGTGAATGTTGGTAAAAACGTTCTCAGAATGTCAGGACTTTCCTAAAAAACGTTATTAGAACGTTACTGAATAATGTTCTGCTAACCTAAAAGAAACATTCCCATAACATTCAAGGAACATAACTTTGTTAGCTGGGAATCAAATCAAATACAACTCTCAGACATCAAAACAACTTTACAAGAACCGGCGGTCAAACGCCCTTTGGCCCGGTGAACAAAAACCATTACCTCAGTCCCAAAAACTCCCAAAATAACGTTCCAAACAACAGTAAAGTATTGTATAGATTATGTAATCTACTACTGGGGTTTGTACAGTGACGCTGTTCAATTTGTAAGCGTACAGCCCATGCCATCTATAGGAAAACATAGTAAACGTTCCAAATTTTTTTTTTTTTTTGCCACGAGTATACTTGTGTTTTGCGGCCGTGTGTTTTGCAGGTTCGAACGAGTATACTCGTGTTTTGCGTTGAACGTGTTAAGAGATAGAATTGTGGGAGGAGTGAGGAGTCAAGAGACTCGTGAAAGCCTTCTGAAAGCTACGAATTTGACACTCGACACGTGTCTAAAATTGTGTCGAGCGACTGAATTCTCGCAAGAGGCAATTAGAGAATTTGCACACACCTCCATTCAGTCTGTCCATGCAGTAAAGCACAAAGAGGTGCGGGACAGGAGTTTCGGCGAGAAGCAGAAGAAAGGATGCAAGTTCTGTGGGAATAGCCACATATACGAGCGAGAGAAGTGTCTGCAAAAAGTGCAAAAAGTGTGATGGTGACAACCACTTTCAAAGCCAGTCCGACGCTCTGCGAAAGTCGGCTAAACCGAAGGCTCAGTACAAGGGCAAGAAGAAGAACGTGTACTCACTTAACAGAGGCGACTCCGACAGTGATGACTACTGGACGGTAAGGACAGTCGACCGGAGAGGTGAGAGAAAAGTGTTTGCTCGCATGCTTGTCAATGGTGCAGCTGTACGTTTTCAACTCGACAGCGGGGCAACCTGCAACATAGATCCAGCTGAAGTGCTCTCCCAACAACAACTCTTGAGCATTGACAGAACACAGCGGAGGGTGCTCACAACCACTGGTTGAGTGTTGGGTGAAAATGATCAACCCCAAAAATGATGCAAAGTATAAAGTAGCCTGTGTTGTGCTTCAAGAGAGCTGTGTCCCAATTCTTGGTGTCTCGGCAGCCCAGCAGATGCAGTTGCTGGAAATAAAACACGAGAACATTATGAAGGTGGAAACACGTGAGAGTTCGAAAGTTCCTCTCACGAAGGAGGTACTTATGGAGGAGTTCAAGGATGTGTTTGAGGGTACCGGAAGGTTGCCGGGGTCCTTGCACCTTGAAATAGACACGTCAGTACCACCTGTAGTTCATCCGCCAAGACGTGTCCCGATAGCACTGAAGGAAGCATTAAGAGTCGAGCTGGAAGACTTGGTGAAGAAGAGCATTATTGCCAAGGTTACCACTCCAACCGACTGGGACTCCAGTCTTGTGGTAGCAAGGAAGCCTAATGGTAAACTGCGCATCTGTTTAGACCCTAAAGACTTGAACAAAGCGCTGAAGCGCAGCCACTACCTTCTTCCCACCATTGAGGATGTGCTCCCGAATATGAGTGGGGTGAAGGTCTTCAGTCTGTTCGATGCTAAAAATGCTCATATCTCACCACGTTCAATACGCCGTTTGGAAGATATCGGCGGCTCCGGATGCCGTTCGGAATAAAACCGGCTCCTGAGGAATATCAATGACGGCAGGACGAGGCACTTGAAGGCTTGCCAGGCATGAGAAGCATTGCCGATGACGTGCTAGTGCAAGGTGTAGGAGACACTGTGGAAGAGGCTCTGGACAATCATGACTCCAATGTCCGTGCGTTCTTACAGTGGTGCAGACAGAAGAACCTGAGGTTAAACCTGGGAAAAATGAAGCTCAAGCAGACACAAGCAGCATATATTGGGCACCTACTCACTAGTCGATGGCAGACCCAGAAAAAGTGAGAGCAGTGGAACAGATGCCACCCCCTCGAGATGTACTGTAACAACCACGTTACAAGGCACTCCCCCCCCCCTCTATCGGCGGTCGACGGAAACATTCATCCTACGGCGTTGCCCCTAGCGACCACGTGCGATCAATACGGCCTGCTGGCCATTCGTTCTACGGCGTTGCCCCTAGCAACCACGCGCGATCAATGCGGCCTGCTGGCCATTCGTTCTACGGCGTTGCCCCTAGCAACCACACGCGATCAATACGGCCTGCTGGCAGGGCGAGCTGAACAGTCAAAGATGGCGGCCCGCCCACGCTGAAACACGCTGCTGGAGTACCGCTACGTCACTGGCACCCACGCCGGCTGGTTAGGTTATTAACACCACCCTCCCCAATTAGCGGCGCGTACGTGTCGTGATTAGTGGTGCCGGCCCTAGCATGGAGGCTCGGCTCGGCGATGCTGCGCAGCTGATGCGATGCGACTTTTAGAACCAGTCAGCCGTGAAGTATCGCCATGTCGTGGGATTAAAGGATTACATGCGTTAAATGCACCGTGAAAAGCTGTTAACGCCCGGGACAGCGGCCATGTTGAGCGCGCGCGACGCGTTTGTGCGGGTAGACGGAGCCACCTCCTGGACGGTGGTACGGCAGAATAGCGGGTCTTCCCCGTTAGGGGCCACCATCGTCCAGGGCGAAGGTGGTGAAGCCAAGCGAACGCGGATGAGACGAACGCGGTGATTGGCGCGCGTGGCACGTGGGTGAGCATGCACCGCGCGCGTGGCGACGCCTATATAAACTGCTGCACGAGCAGAAATCGGGGAGTGCTCCTCTGACTCTGGACACGACCGCCCGTGTATGTCAAGCAATAGTCTACTTCAATAAAACAACTAGTCATGGTATATATTCTCTGACTTTACTCTTGTCTATGTCTTTTGGCTATGAATACGACATCTTAATCTACAACTGTATAGTAACGTAAAAACCTTCGTTACAGTACCAGCTGTCAGACGACTCCTTGGCCTAGCGAATTATCTTAGCACCCAAACTAAGTGCTTTGGTGGAGCCAATGAGGGTGCTGACACAAAAGAACATTGAATGGCATACAAGCTTTTAGAGAGCTGAAAGTTGCCATTACAGAGCAGCCGGTTAGGGCTACCGCCAGTAGGCCTACTAGGCCAGTAGCCGAGTAGGGCACCCGAAAATTATTATTATAGAGCAGCCGGTGCTTCGGTACTTTGACCCAAGAGAAGAGGTGGTAGTGCAGTGTGATGCTTCAGAGAAAGGGTTAGGTGCAGCGTTTATGCAGAAGGGGCAACACATTGCTTTTGCAAGCAGAGCCCTTACAGACACAGAAACTCGATACGCACAGATCGAGAAAGAGCTCCTTGCCTGTCTTTGGAGTTACCAAGTTCCACCAGTACGTATATGGAAGGCCGTTTGTGGTACAGACCAACCATAAACCACTGGAGAACATTATGCAAAAACCGCGTTATGCGGCACCGAAACGGCTGCAAACCATGTTGGTAAAGCTACAAGGCTATGACGTAGAGTTGAAATACCAACCTGGCCCTACTTTGTACCTGGCGGATACGTTGAGTAGAGCATACGTTCCAGGAGATCCTGAACTGGATAGCTTCGAGAAGTACCTGAATAATGTCAATGTGCTGAGTTACCTGCCAATTTCAGAAGGTAAACTCGAACAGATCCGTGCTGCTACTGAACGCGACTTGAGTGTACTTAAGTCTTCTGTGTTCGAGGGTTGGCCCGAGAAGAAAGATACTGTGCCGGGAGATATCAAGCACTATTTTAGTCTAAGAGACCAGTTGTCGGTGCACAACGGAATCATCTTGACTGGTGACCGCGTGGTAATTCCCAACTCAATGAGAAGGGAAATGATGGACCAGATACACAGCTCACATGTTGGCATTGAAGGCTGCCTGTGGCGGGCTAGAGAGTGCCTGTATTGGCCAGCAATGAATTCGGAAATTCGCAATTTCATTGTTGCATGTGAAATCTGCAACTCGATGCCCAGGAAGCAGCAGGAGACGTTAGTGCCACATGATGTGCCTGGTAGGCCATGGGCTACGGTGGGAACAGATCTGTGCTATATCGATGGGTTGAATTACCTCGTCACCGCGGATTACTACTCAAACTTTATTGAGGTAGATTATCTGGAGGATACCAGAGCAGAAACAGTTGTCACGAAACTAAAGGCACAGTTTTCACGCCACGGGATACCGGATTCTGTCGTGAGTGACAACGGCCCACAGTTTTCGTGTGATGTGTTTGCGAACTTTAGCAGGAAGTGGGGTTTTGAGCATAATACCTCATCTCCTCGATATCCGCAGAGTAACGGTAAAGTGGAAAATGCGGTGAAGACGATCAAGAATCTAATTATGAAGTCAAAGATGGCAAAATCTGATCCTTACCTGGCTATTCTGGACTTCAGAAACACTACAACCCAGGAAGTAGGATCGTCGCCAGCAAAAAGGATCTTTGGTAGGCGTACAAAGACGTTGCTACCCACCACTGCAGCTCTACTCAATCCCCGAGGTCTACCGCATGACTGCGAGAGGGAGATGATCACTCTACTAAAGCACAAGGCAGCGGATTATTATAATAAGTCTGCAAAAGATCTAAGAGAGTTGTCGCAAGGTGATGTAGTATGGATACAGCCTTCCCCAGCGGGAAAAAAAATGGGTTAAGGGTTGTGTTACCATACAAGGTCCAACACGGGGACTTATAGTAGAAACCGTGTCCATTTGAGGCAATCAGCAGAGAGAGCGGACAACCTCTGCTCACCAGCAACTACAGAAGTCACGGCTACAGAAAGCCCGAGACAACTGGAGAGTCCTGCTGTTCAACCGGTTCAGAGGCGACTGGAGAGTCCTGTCTCAGCTGAGCGACCGACAGCTGAGCCTACTGAGCCACCGCCACATGTAGAGAAACAGGAGCAGCCATTCCGGCAGGCAACAAAAATGACATCCATCAGTCCAGCCAGAACCAGATCCGGGCGGACGATCAGGAAACCTAAACGTTATGAGGACGAGTAGATAGCAAAGAAGCTACCACCTGTAAATATATAATGGTGATGTGTTAGTGACATTAAAGAATAAGTAACGATGTGAGTTTAGTTGTAACGACGTTGTGGTAGACCTAGATCTTGAGTATGAATTTGTGAAAGGGCTAATGTTGTTTATTTTATTATAATTTGGTTGATAATGCCTTGAGACCCATTCATCTATTTTTCTCAATGTATAACGTCTCTACTTTATTTTGCATCTATATCACCTGTACATTGTACGTGTTATTTCATAAAGAGGAAGGATGTCACAACACATTGTTATAACACACGTTGTTATAAACAAACACCTGAGCGTTTGTTACGCCGACGCCACCTGGTGTGAACTATAGGAGGCTTAGCGTATATAAGGCAATGCCATGTGGCAGAAGGCCTCTTCTTACCTCGTGCGTGCTTATACCTGTATCCCACCAGGTGCTCGATAATCAAGCATGGTGTTCTAACATAACTCTAAATACAGTACGTGTATAAGTATTGTAATACTCCCCCTTCCCGGTATTGCTTGAGCTTGTCCTCAGCTCTTGTGACCTGCTGCCACCTAGTGTCAGAATCAAACAATAACCGCTCAACTTAACTATAAATATTACAGATTCTATATCTACGATACTACAGCTGCGAACCCCAAATTTCCCTTTTATGCATAGCATGCTAAGTTTAAAATTAGCATTTTACCAATTTATGCATGTTACTTTCAGAGCCAAAATTGAGCTATATTGAATGCTCCTAGAACTCTGAAGTACTAGAAAGGTTTATTGTATGGGACTATACTAGGAGATTCAGAAATATGAAGTTAAATTTTTGCCAAAATTATGCTAATTAGCATAATTTATGCCAGAAACGTCTAATTTTCCTGTATTTCCTGAAATATAAGCTAAAACATTCATGTTAAAAGTTTTTTAATTGTTTCAAACTGCTACTCACAATTTATAGACAAGGTAATCCTTTTCTTTTCTTGTAGTATATTCTTTTTCATTCCTTTTTAACGCTTTTTGGACCTTTAGGTGTGAATCGTCAATGTTTCAGAAAATTTTCGTAACAACGTGTAATTCGAGATAGGATATCAATGTTATGCTATTGTGAATGTTATCCTGTAAATAAACACTAACACAGTAATCCAATGTCTTTCTGTGTTCTTCTCTCCATATATAGTTAGTTATAAGTGACTTTATATTTGTACTGGGTATGATAACGCTTGAAGCATGCTGGGAAACACATGGCTTGGTCGCAGTCCTCACAGTAGTTTCGAGTTTGATGCCGCTGGTGAGCCTGCCTATCAGAGCACACAATACACTCTGGCCTGTAGGATTTGTTGACATATTCTGCACAGAAGTGACCAACTAAGCATCTTTTCCTACGCTTATCCACAGTGTTTCCTTTGTCTTTAGCATGTGTACGAATGTTCAGAGGAATGAGAGAGTCAATGACTTTCTCACGGAACATGGTCTGGTCAATGTTGACATCAGGATGGCTCTCTTTGTAGGCAATGTGGCCATTGACAAGTGCTGTTTCTATCACATAGTGGTACATTATCTGATACCACTTCTGGGACTTGTGTGGATAGCAGTAGTAGGCTGAAAGCTGGTCAAACCTATCGACCCCACCCATATATTTGTTGTAGTCTTGAACTAGAGCAGGCTTTTTCACCGTACGCTTTCCAGTGGCATCCTTCTTCAATCGGATTTCCTTGTTGACTGTTTGATTACCATGAAGTGTAGCGAGGAGTGTTTATGGTATATAAACACCGGCTACACCCGAGCCCGCCCGTCGCGGGAATGAATCCCGATGGTGACACCTAGGTGCGACAAAGGAGACGAGGCGACGGTGGAGGACCACCTGCTCTCGAAGTCGCACCGTGAGAAACTCGCGCCGTGAGAAATGTGTCACTAAGGCGCGGGTTTTATGGTGACCAATTACGGACGGACTTAAAAGCGAAGGCTCTAGCCGAGCTCGGCAGAACCTGACTGTCCTTCCGACTGACTCTTGTTCATTACTCATAGCTTGTATCGCATACCTTGTGCCTGCTTCAACTCTAAACATGTCAAGCAATAAACGCCAGTGTGGTACGTTACTACCTTAGTTGTTGTCTATCTGTTGGTTTGCGTTCTCCCATCCTTGTACCTACCTACATACCTACACCTACCTGCGCCTAGCCTTAGATCGCCAGTAGTCTTACCCCGCTAACGAACGACATCGTTACAGAAGCGTTAAAAGGCAATTCACATGTTTAGTGTCCTGCCACGTGGTGAAGGTCAGGGAGTAATTTGCACCATGCCAAAACACAGGCAAATCACCCTGTTTCAGTTTTACGTCTTTGGGACCAATGTTCTTTGGCAATCCCTTTCTATTGGATCGAACAGTACCACATGCACCCATGTTCTTCTGTTTGAGGCTATGAAACAGTTCTGGGTAGGAGAAGAAGTTGTCCATAAAAACTTTATGGCCACTACCATCCATTCCATCCAAAAGATTTCGAACTACATGGGAACCCAATGTCTCGTCGCCACGGTCATCCTCCAACTTCCCTGTATAAACTCGCCATCTAAGGTTAAAACCATTTCTAGAATCACAGAGTGACCAAATCTTTATTCCCCACTTTTTGGGTTTATTAGGAATATACTGTTTGAAACTCAGACGTCCTTTGAACCCTTTCATTATCTTATCCACCGATATCTCTTGATGTGGCACATAGGCGTCCAGGTAGGTATCCTTCACGAGATCAATCACGGGGCGAATCTTGTACAACAGATCATAGAGGTCATGACCCCTCGGATGTTGTCCTTTGTTATCACAGAAGTGCAGAAATGACCGTAGGATATGGTAGCGGTCCCGTGCAATCACTTCAGTGTAAGACGGAGTTTGAGTTAGCCAGAATCTATCCCAGTAATCAGTAAGTCAATTTTTAGAGCAGAGTCACATGGCAATCTCGATGGCAACAAACACCTTCATCTCCTCCACTGTATTGTCCTTCCATTTCCTGGACCTGGATGATGGTGGAATTTCAACAGGGTTGTCAAAAAACAGCAGGGCATAGTTATTAGTCTCTCGTGCCATAACAGTAAATATTCCAACAGGAAAAAACTTGTAGAAGTAGTCAATAGGTTCATCATGATCAGGGTCAATTACACCGGCTTTCAAACCTGGTTGTCCTTGATACAAAGGGTTAAATGTAGGCTGCACATTTACATCAGGACCCAGCTTGGCCCAATCAAAATTATGACCTGCAGCCCTAGGCATATTGGCTTGACAACGTCTTTGCCTAGGAGGGGGTGCATCATCATCGCTTTTATCATCAATGTCCATGCCATTCTCAGATTCAGTCTCAGAATCTACATTTTGACCCCCATCTGAGTCACTGTCACCTTGTACACTGTTAGCATTACCGCCATCATAGCCCAAATCATCGCCAGACATGTCAGAATCATCCCCCGAGTTCTCACCTTCTGATTCACTGTCCGCAAATATTTCGTCAATTAATGGTTCTACACTCAACCTAGCACGTGGTCGGGCCATTTAAATTTGTGTAAACAAACTTTTAGACGTCAAAATACTCGAAAAGAAACACCTGGTTTTATCGCTGGAAACCGGAAGGCCTGCTCATGAACTAACCACTAATGCCAGCTATCGGATGTTTATGGAACTGCATATCAGTCTGAGTGCATGGAAACTTGTATGGGACAAAGTCGCCGATCAGTGTACAGCCGCATGATGGGCATTTTTATTTGTGTGCTGATCGGCGTACATTCGCAGCGAAAGGGTTAGTATAACATATATCACAATGAATTAACGTTAAAAAAAATCTGAAAAATTCCCCAGGGGCGTAGCTAGGGTGAAATGGATGTGTACGCACACAGGCGGGGGTTGCGGGTGTCCTCCCCCAGAAAATTTTGAAAATGTAGATCGCAGGAGATGGTATTTGAGGGACTTTTGAGTAAATATACAGCCTTCATTCTGACTACGACAATTATCTTTTTACTAGAACTAAATTCTCTTCATGAGCAACAAGATGTGATCACAACTAATCATATAATTTTCGTTTTATTATCAAGTCATGTTGAACTAACGCACATTCTTAAACTCTCTCTTTCTCTCTCTCCCTCTCTGTGTGCGTACGTGCTTGCATGCGAGCGAGCGTATGCGTGCGGGTGCGTGTGGGCACGTGTGTGTGGCTCAAACACACACATCACATCACGGCATTGTTTAAGTCACGTTCGTTATTCAATGTGTAGGGGTGACTACCGCTGGGATGAGGGCGACAGCAACTCTTTCTTGGAATTGTGAAAAAGCTGAAAAATGGTTGTAACCTGCTTTTCCACTCAATTATATAATTTAACCTATATGCATCAGGTGACGTTTTGTACAGCCGCGCGACTATGTAACAATATTGTTAATTCAACAGAGGGGGTAGCTACCCACTCCACCCACCCCCCTAAATCCGCTACTGATGTAGTAAGCTTGTGAGTAGAGATATCTCAATAGACATATGGGTGCTTCTGAGCTATTGAGTTATAAATAACGTCCGTAACTTTTTGGGACCTAATTTTCCATATATCTGTTTATAACAAATTATTAATGTAGTAGAGTTTCAATTTTAAGCTGTAGAGATAAAAACAATAGTTTTGACCAGAATTTGTCATGGAATACTAATTTTATACATGTTTTAGTGTGAAAATGTCAATGTTTTCTCGTGACATTTTATGACGTGTCATTTTTGCATGCTTTTAACATGTTGTATAAATATTTAAATTTTATTCCCCTCCATTATAATGTCTTAGTTATGGTTAGAAACGACATAAATTGTTTTGATGAAACAAAGAAATCCTTAAAATATATTATTTTTTAATGTTTTATCTTCTTTTGAATTTAGTAGTCACGGACGTTACCTGTCGGTCAAAAAAACACTTACATTTTGCACTAACATTTAAAACCCACACAAATACAGTATAACATTGGAAGTATCATTAATACATACATTTAATGTCTTATCTTCATGACCACTGCTCTTTTTTCTCAAGGAATGCGATTACACATCAAATAAATCAAATAAGAAATAAGTGCCTGCATGTCTGTCAAATATAACGTCCATAACTTTGATGTAAAAAATAAAATCTAGACATGCTGTTGGCATAACACCCCTACTCACAGTTAAAGTGGAACATTCCACAGGAAGTAACATCAGGGATTTGTGTCAGATGCATCTGAGAAAGTTGAAAATAGAGACAAATGGCTGTCTGTCAAATATTTCCTGAGTACTTAACGTCCGTGACGTTCGGACGTTATTTTTTTCAACAAAATCTTTAAATACATGTGCATGGAAAATGATATCATGTCCAATATCGATGTTATTATGCATGCAGACATTAAACATATATAAATATCGATCATTCAAGTGGAGAATGTTCAGATATTGACATAAATACGCTCGGACGTTACTATTGACATTTGATCACAATTTGTTATGGGTATGTCAAAGTAAAAGTCACGTCCGTATCAGGATTGCAACACAAATTATGTAGCAAATACTTTCCCTCTTTGTATGTATAATTGATAATCGTGTTCACAAGTAGGTTTCCTTCAAATTCTGCCATCAAATGTGTCCTTGTTTGATTTTAAATAACTTAATTTTGAAGTTTATATTCGGACATTACACAAGAATTGTCAATTTGTCAATGGTAACGTCCGGAAAACTATATTGTCGAAAATTGTGGCATATCTTCCAACAAACATGTTAAAAGTACACATAGTGTAGCTCACATTGTAATACAGTGCTTGCAATGCTTTCACAGTTTTAGAAGTCTACAATACTTTGTATATAAAATTGTGAATTCAACAAATTTTAGTAACGTCGACTCCGTAACACTAACAATTTAATGTATTATTCTGTTCAAAATGATAATTTCTGAGAAATGATCATTATAGGCACACAGCACGCATCTAACTTGTTGTAAATTGACATTCATCCTCAATTTAGCCCTTGTATTTTTATTTCAAAACCTTGTCAAAGCATGTTGAGTAACGTCCGTAACTTTCAAAGTAACTCATAAAAAATCAGAATTTTTATATATAATGCACTCAAAACTATCTTCTAACGTAGCCTTTCTAAAATTTTAATACATCATCTATAATCAGGGCCTATACAGTACAGAATACATGCAACTTTATTTTGAAAGGTGTTGTCACAAAAATATTACTCAATAGCTCAGAAGCACCCATATGTCGAGACGAGGACCAGTCTATGCTGGATGACTGTGTGAAAATGGTTGAATCAAGATATCAAAAATTCCTTTGAAATCAATGAAAAATGAATTCAACGCTAAATAAAATATAACAGTTTACGGTAAATAAACAGATGCTTTCACGCTAACGCTAATTTCTATCAGGGTATCAGGAGTCTGACTGACTGACTCTCGCTCTCTCTCTCTCTCTCTCTCTCTCTCTCTCTCTCTCTCTCTCTCGCTCTCTCTCTCTCTCTCTCTGCAATAAAAAAACGTTTGGTAAAATTATGTGTACGCAACTGCGTATCTGTGTTGTCGTAGCTACGCCCCTGTTCCCACACAAGTTCCCGAATGGTTTCAGGTCAGAGACTGTGGATTTGTATAAAATAAATTGTAGCCGTTTGTGCTCTCGAGTCGTGTTGTGACACGAAATTTATTTACTACCAAACTGTTACTCTCCACCTTTTGCAAGGGTATTGCTCCAGTGAAGATTAAACGTTTATTGACGAATGAATCGAATCAATCACACGTTTTGTTTGCAGAGGAGATATATCTCTATGCTCAAGCCAAAAAATGAATTTTCAAAAAAAATTCATGAAATTTCCAGCACCTAATTATGTTACCACACAAATTTTGAATTTTTATGTAAAAATAGTATTTTAGATATTTCTCAATTACCACAGTGAGGAAGCAAAATTTTCGCCACAGGTTAAGCACAATATGTACCAAAATAGCGCATCACTCAGGATTTTTCGTTAAGTTTTATATTTACTGAGAAAAAATGAAAAAAACTGTTTAAAAATCAAGTTGTGTGTTAGTTAGAATTGAAAATTTTTGCGAATAAAGAGGCATAACTCGTAAAATACGGCACTGAATAACAATCCCTGACGCGTTTTTTTTTACAGCAATATGTTACCATTAAAACGAGTGTAAAATTAAATTATTCCGAGTTGTAATCACAGAGATATATATCCATTTATACATCGGCTACTATGTCAGAAATCGAAACGGAGAAATCGGAGGTTTTCTATTTTTCACAATGATCGACCGCCTGTGTGCATAATGGGTGAACGTATGTGAAACATCTACTGTTAGTAGGTATCACAGTGATATTTTTAAAGTGCACAACATTTTTAAACTTTGTGGATTTTATTATAAAGCTCATGAAAAGAAACATTTTGATACCTCATTTGTCAAATTTGAATGTATACTTTTTGAGATATGCTTATTTAAAAGTAATGGGAAAGGGTCGATTTTGTTTAAATTAACGCATAAGTGATAATCAGTAATATTTGCACAGTCATATCTCAGAAAAGTACCCTTCAGTGACATTGAACTGATGTCATCTTAAACTACCTATGCCTATGGCATACAACTCTCCTATTTTTTTTCAGGTTGTGCAAAATTTTTATTTTTTTTTAATGATTTTTTGAAAACCCTTGTAAAGCATATTTTGCCATGTGTAACAATGCACATTTTTACTAGTTGCGCGCAAGTTCTCAATGCATTTTCAAATCCACATAAATTCAAAACCGTACGGTACACAGAAGTAATCTTTGGAGACCAAGCAATAGGTATCAAGTTTAAAAGACTCTGTGAATATGGACCATGACAAATGTCCACTCATTTTTTAAACTGTATCCAAACATAGCCCCGCAACGCACCGCGCGCGCGCGCTGTGGCTCTAAACTGCCGCGCAAGTGCATTTTTAACAAACAAAAATGCACGCCATTCATCAAGAATAAAATGTAATTTCCATATTTGTCATTACATCAATTTTGAAATACATGTTTACTAGTCTAGATAACTATTCAGTCGTTTCGCCATAAATTGTTTAAATTCAAAGACCTCAGTGAGTACAGTGAGTGCTACACCAGCTGTACGCTCCTGCAGATGGACGGATATTCCTGCAGCCTTTATTGATCTAATTCCTTCTGCTTTACAAATACATAATTACAACACTAGGTATGCCTCAAAAGGTAAATACACAGACCTGCCTCCAGGACTAACTATGGTCTATCTCGATTTAAGTCTCTGGCCTCAAGGATATGGGAAACAATTCCTCTTGAAATTAAAACCCTCGCCTCACAGTAAATTTAAACATGATTATAAGCTATTCCTTCTAGACAGCCAGTAATAATCAATTAAATTAAATTAGTGCGTGTTATTTAGGACAATTGGTTATATATTATATTATAATTGC